AAAAAGCCACGTTTTCTTGGCCGTCACGTTGTGGTGTGTGGTCTGCACTCGACGCTCTTCTCGTTTTCCGAAATAAAGATAGATGAGAGCCTTTTCCAAGAGTTGCCGTCAAGTGGGAGAACCTGCGAGGAAATCGACCTCACAACCTCTTGTCTGTGAGCCCCGACCACTACCGCTGTTCTTTTGTGTTCATAACTCCATTCAGAAAATCGATTGGCAGATTTGGAAAGCAGATTCGAGATCAGCGTCCAAAAACGCATCCAACAGTGTAGGTCTCATTGCATATGGCCACTTCGACCATCATCCTTTCTGGTAAAAAAAATGGTTTTGTTCTTGCCTCAAACGCAGCATAAGTCCCTGCTCGACCACAACCGGAGAGGCTCATATAGATATGTGGATTAGGATACTTTCTGTAACAGAAAATCAATTGTAAGGGCGAAAATTGTTCATCCTCCGCCCGACCTGAACACTGATTGTATTTGCCACAAGTCCAAAAGTCGAACTGGCTGCTTCCCGTGCGTCCATCCAGAATAATGATGCATGTGCACATATCTGAACAATTCGTTCAAATTTTCGACTTCAGAATTTTGCGGCGATCAATACAAGCTGATCGACCTACTTTCTACGATCTCCGCTTCTGACTGAAATCACGTGCATTGTCCAGTCACGATCGATGACCACTCGCTTGAACTCTCCAACTCGCACATGACTTCCATCAAAATGTACAAAGTCCCTAGAGAGTCAGGGTTACTTCCATGGGTTTGAATCAGAACAAGCAACCGTTACTGTTTAGACAGACTTAAGGGCTTTCAGGCATAATTTCATTCATGAAAGCCGAATATCGAATCACGAACGCAAGTCGGAAACTTCACTTGCGCATGGCGATGCTGACGATGCGATGCTTCTCCTCGGGTGTCCCCAAGAGGCCCGTCGCGCGGCGAAGGAAGAGACGCAGATGCGGCAAAGGACGAGTCGCAGCGCGTGCTGTGCGATATGAGACGTAGTATGGTACACTCTATTTAACCTGACGCCTAACCGCTACAGTATGCGCTGCGACTCGTCCTTTGCCGCGTCTGCGTCTCTTCCTTCGCCGCGCGACGGGCCTCTTGGGGACACCAGGGTCAAGCGTGCGTTGAGGAATCCTCGACACGTCACAGGGGGGGTCGTATTGGCCCGCTGGAGGAAGAGATCGGGCCGTTGATGCAGTAGGATCATCACCGTCGGAGGACAAACATCAAGGATGAGTCGATGCCAGGCCAGATATTTCCAAGAAAAATGTTGTTCCTATAATAAAATCAGCGTGATTCAGAGATGCCCGCTTAGCAATTCTTAGTTACTTCAGTGTTTTATCACCACAGTTAAAGAATCCAAAATTCCCACTTTTTCCAAGGGATATTTTATCTTTCAAGTGAGTCCTCAAATCTGAAGGGATGTGAACCACACGGGCAACCTAGAGTGGCCAGGTTGGCTTCATTTACGGCTCTATGGAAGAGAGAATCTCAGTTCAGGGAAAGTCAAGACGATTCTGAAAGGGTCGGTGTGAAATTACAGGGAGGAGTTCACTGATAAACAAGAAATGCAGCTCTCAGCGTCAAGTTTATGAACATATAAGTGTTGAAGTTTAGATTCGTCAGACAATTTTACACTTGTTGAAAGAAAAATCTCGTGAGTTCCGAGCCTGCTCCCTATTTTGTACGAAATTGCCCCGGAAGGCACCTATAGTCGTTGAAATAGGGCCACTACAGCGGAAAAGTACCTTTTAGCGGTGCCCAGGCAAAATCCTCAACAAGGCCGTTTTTTAAATACTGGACATATGAAGCTGCTTTAGCAAAGATAAAATAGAGCAAATCTTCTAGTTTATGATGGCGTATTAACTTTCCAGATTGGATGAGTTTGAACGGAGTTATGGCTTTAGGAAAGTAAAAACTCGCACTCATCACGAAATTTTCCTCGTTAATTTTGCAAAAATCCTCAACGTGGCCATTTTTTGAATACTGGACGTATGAAGCTGCTTTAGCAACGGTTTGATAGAGAAAATCTTCTAGTTTTGTACCATATTAACTTTTCGAATTTGACGAAAAACGAAGCAAGTTATGCTTCGGACATCAGTGGCTACACCTACCGTGCCCCCATCAACTGAATAATGAATTTTCCTCGTTAATTGATCCTAAATTTGTTATTTCTTATAACTTTTTGTAATTTCAATACTGATTAGAAAAAGCTCTTCACAAAACTTCCAAATCTGCTTTCAGATTGAAAATTCGTCATATTTGAAGAAAGTTATAATCATTTGAATATTTGTTCAAATTTCAATAGTAAATAAGCTGCTCCACGGTCAACGCCAAAGATCAGTCAGCACACAGCTGGCTAAGGCGGTTAAAAGGCTTTCTTCATCAACAAAAAGGGGACGATTATGATTGAAAACCATACTCCGTGTAGTACCAAATTTGAAAAGCCTTCTAAGGAAATAAAATAAAGAAGAGGTGTTGTCAAAGTATTCCATTTGTGGTGACTAGTTTGATGCTACGTAAAAATCTAGGGGCGTCTGCAAGACGGCGGTCGCGACGCGGCTCTGTTACTGGAGCGCGCCAATCATCCACCAGTACTGCTTTCGCGTTACGGTGACCTTCGACTATGACACATGACATTAGACTGATCTCCGATTGACTTTTTGTGGACTCACTTTTTTCGCGATGATAGAATACTGGCTATTGGAAATTATCGATATTCAATGTGTTGCAACATTTGTTTCGGCGCGGAAGAAGTTCAAAAACCTCGAGGCCACCTCCATCTATATTGACTTTAAAATGCATCAGCACAATGTCCTTTACAGATTGCATAATTTGCAAAAAGGAGATTCAAGGGTTTCCCATCGTGATGTTTCACTGAAAATGGAAATAACAGCAGGGATGGGTCGAAGTATTGATTGAAATCTACAAAAATTTTCGGCACTACATATTCAACTATTACAATCCCAAAAACTCAAAATTTTGAATTTCCTCGAAACTTCGTCCATGGGGGTTATTCGATGCCCTGATTACGAAAAAGATACTCATTTTCGGCGTTGCCGCCATCAGGCGCCAGTTTGGCGCTAGGGCTATTTTCACCAAATTCGCTGTACTTGTAGGGGTATTTTGGGGTTATTTCCGGTCTCTGATTACGGATGTCAGTCGTTTTTAGAATTCTCACCGTTCAACGCTCTTTTTCCACTTTTCTGGGCCTTCTCACTTGTACATAATCCCTAGGACTAAGCTTAGGAAGAGGAAGGACTCCGGGGTGGGTGAACCAGTCAATAAGTTTGGCAAATCTTTAAGCGTATAAGATCACAGCGAGATGTTATTCACTCGGAAGCAACTCACTCCCAAAGTTAGTCTCTGTATCGCGAGCTGATCAGTGAGAGGCGCAGACGACCTGAACAGGCCCACTAGCGCTGCGGAAATATGAATGTGGTAATGTGCGTAGCCGGCAGTACCCAAAATGACCATAAAGTTTTACCGCAAGTTGGGTGAAAAAATAGTCCTGGCTCTAATGGCACCAACGTCAAAAATGAATGTCATTTGGGCATCGAATAACTCCTATGGAAGGAATTTCGGCGAGAATTAAAACTTTGGGATTTTGGGGTTGTAATAGTTGAATAGTGCCAACGATTCCTTAGAATCCATAAAAATCCAGTGCGCAATCTCAAGGGGGCTCCTCCGACACTATGTGAGTTGAGCGTGTAATGGGCCAACCTTACTTCAGTGGCCGGGAAGAACAAACAAAAGGCTATGGCGTTGTCATCAATAAATGAGTCGGGTAATTAAGCCTTAGCGACTAGTGACTTCTGCACATTAAAATCCTGTTGTAGCATATATATCGACTTTGCCAGCGAAGACATCTTCAAATCGACGCGCAATCTCAATCTGTAAACAACAATCTTTAGGCCAGCTGCAACTCAGCACTTGAGCGCGGGTTACGGTATTGCGGTCCCACAGCGAATTTCGCAGACGCCCCTAGATTTTTACGTAGCAATCGATAGTTTGTCTTTATTTTACTCCTTTTTCTCTTTGCTCGTTTGATTAGATAGGACTCGAAGTTATTAGGATCATTCTTTGATCTTTGTATTTCTTGAGCGACTTTTGTAGAGGGTGGGGTAGCAGGGCTTTTTTATGAACAGTTTTGAGGGAGGATTAAACAACCTTTAAATAGTTTGGCTTGTGAAGAGGGTCGTTTCTTGTACTTTGGCTCGGGAGGGGGGTCGTATTTCAAAATTTTCCTCGACGCCTCGCTTGACCCTGTTCCCGACGCTTCACTCTTGCTACGCCACCCGTTTTTGTAATAAGCGATACCCATCAAAGTCTCGACTGAAATTCGTCTACTCCAGACTTTTCGCGTATGCGCTTCTTAATTTCCTAATCGCGATCCCATATCTATAATCTGTCGTCAGTAACGAGTTATGAGTGGTAGAATTTGCAGCCACACCACACAAGTCGTCGACAGGTCTCTACATATGCAATGTTTCTGCAATGGGAAAGGACTAGACTGATGCAGCTGTATTCTTTCAGTTATTTTTTTGCAACTACAACTGCATTTAACATCTATCGACTATCATTATGAATCATCAGTTACAAGATTTACTTGCAGGCCGTCGTCGGTTGTGGTATGTTCTGCACTCGACGTGCTTCTGGTTTTCTGAAGCAGGAGTAAATCGTGGCGGGGATTTTCATTTTGTTCTCGCCTGATGTTTTTCACGTTGAAGCGGCAATTTCAAGAAGAACCTAACAGTTCGTCCGCCAGATGTCCATAGCCAATCCTCAAGTTAGGATAAACTCCCCAGAAGAATTCAGTTCTCGCGGGACAGAACCCATTACGACGGGCCATTGCTGCTACGGCCCCTAGTTTCGCAGCTATCTTTGCGTACGGCTCAATAGGCAGCCTTGCCTGCAAATCTCCATCTGTTGCCCAGACGCTGAGTTGGCGCTTTCTGATTGCATATGTATGCTATACGAACAGATTTGCACTTACTGCTCCGCTGGGAATACTCCATTCGCATGAAACATGTTGAATTCGGCATGTGTGAGCAAGAGCAGAATCGCCTGCGCATCGACGTCGAGCACCATTTGCCAGAACTCAGCTCCACTTTCCCGATTTGGAAGCTGGGTGAGAATAGCCTGAAATATTGCTGATACTTCGGAGAGATATATATGTTTAAATATGGTACGACAAACTGGTCACCCAATGAGAATGAGAGGTTTAGGAGGTGCGCAACGAAGAAGAAACGAGGGATGGCATTAGCCCTGCAAACAGACCCTCGTTTTCTCCGTCGACCTCTGCGCTTTATGGGTCTCGCATGCTGGCAGTTATCAACAGAGATGCTCTGCTTCGCCTTTCTGCCAAAAGAATAGAGTCCGAGGCAAGAGGCAGCCCCAAAAAAAAAAAAACTTCTTTTTCTTCTCTCTAACGTTAGTCCCGCGCATTCGCAGGATACGCTGCCCTTGTCCTACAGCTCCTTCTTGCGTTATGCCTTTACTGCCTGATCCGCACTGCCATCGTCAGCTAGATCGCTTCCAAGCCCTCCACTCTTTCTATGCTTTCCCCATGCTCGTCCACGATCGGCCCTGTACCCTTTTCAGGAACTTGGTCTTCTTGACATTCAGCCGAGCCCCTTCTGCCAGGGGTATTTGCTATCCTGCACATTGATCTGAAAAAACTTCTTTGCTATCTACTGTCAGGAAGATGTCGTCAACGCAGAGGATGGTCTCTAGTGGTTCCTCCACGAGTCCCTCCACTATGACATCCAGTGATAGGAGGAAGAGAAGCGCGCAGAGGGCTAATCTTTGAATCCACTCTATCGTGACTTTTACTCTCTTTTGTGGACATTGTAGAGTCGGCGATGCCGTTTGGCCCCAGTAATGTCTTACCTGGGAGTTAAGGATGTTAGGCCTGCTGTTTCTGAGTGCTCGCACATGGGGTGACGCACGCTAAGTCCACCAAGGTCGAGGGAAGACTAAGGTACCAGTTGTCGAGCTTTCTCGATTTACTTCTATCACTTGCTAATTGATAAAGTGCACCTGTTGAGTGACCTTTCTTGCATGAACAAATTTTTACGAAAGAATGAATGGGACAGCCTCTGAACTGGAGTACACAGCGCTCGCCACAAACTTTTACGCAGTTCAGCTTTGATCGCAGGTATGTGAAAGCAACAGTCTCAGCAGGGTCCTTACCTTTGATACTAACAGTGTGGAAATGATGCACTAGCCCTCGCCAAGAACACAAAAAAGTGCCACCAAACAAAATCTAACCTTGGAAAGTTGCTAGAAGGGACTCGTAATAACTCTTGGGTTCTAATATAATGTATACAGCCCATTGTGAGCCGTAAAGAATGTTTGGGCTTGGGCTGCGTTCGGTCTTGCGCGATTTGCGTGTAAGAGTGTTTCAGTGTTTCAAGCACACACTCATCGCCTGTTTTTGTTTGTATCTTACCCTTTGCTTGTTCTCTTTCTGCTGATCGATTTCCTTTCGTGCTCATTCTTACTGGCGCATATTAGGATTGACAGCATTTCTCGCGCCCACGACAGCAGGAGCAATGCTAGTGCGGACAGCTCATCCACGCCCTCCTTCACTTTAGAGGGGAGAAGGATGTTTTCTGTCATGAACTCTCCGTTCATGATGACGTTGAGTGACCCGCCTCCTTCCGCCGTATAAAACGGCGAGTGTATCAATTAGAAGGCATGGCTGTCAGCCTATACGTGTTTCGTCTTCGACTCTCTCTCTGTGACGGGAGGAAAGGATGTTGCGGACCCGCACTGGGACGGTTGTAAAAATACAAACTATTCCAATAGATTCCAAATAGGACAAACTCCTTCATTCTCAATTCTATGGCAGATTTTGAGGTTCATTGTATACTCTATGTAGCTGGCCGATTTGGGACTCATATATTTGGCTCGTATATTTGGAAGATATGGTTAATCAATAAACATGTATTGATATACTGTGAAGAGAAGTGAACCACCAAATTCCATCTGGAAGTGATGCATCTAGAACATTTTCTGTTCAAAGGCCTTAGGCCTTAGTTCGGCGGTTTCCTTTTCTTTTCTTCCACTGGCAGTCAACTCGCCATGTACAACTTCATTGTCGACCGCTTTGCCCCGCTAATTCGATCTGGAATTATTACTTTGGAGCAGTAGAGGGCCTCAATTTCTGTTCATTCCCTGGCGACGGCTGCCTTAGCAAGCCTCTTGCAACTCCTGTAGGCAGCGAGGTCCTCGGGGCTCCGGGTCTTCTGCCAGCGCTTGTATGCTTCCTTCTTCTGCTTCACGACTCGCTGGACCTCCTCGTTCCAGAACCACGCTGCCTTGTCCCCTTATTCCACCTCACAGCACGCAGAGTACCTCATCCACGTTACTTTAAGTTTGCTATATTGGCCCATCCAACCTGGAGATCAGCGTCCTATCCCTCTTCTGGAAACGTCCCCTCAGCTTGCTGCAACTTCCATCACCGGATTCCATGCTCAGTTCTTACTTGTCTTCTTGGGGAGGTCCATGGCAATGTCTGCCAGGAGGGGCCTGTGCTGGGGAGCCAGTCTTCGCCAGGAGTACCTTGATGTCCTTCACAGTTTTGAGGGATGATCTTCTTACCAGCACATGGTCGATTTCCGTCTGTCTCCCTCCACTGCTGTAGGTTACTGAGTCTCCCTTTTCGCGAAGAACGTGCTGCAGACCGCCAGATCGTAGGGCTGTGGCCAGGTCCAGAATCCTCTCTCCCTTGCGCTCCTTGTTCTGCCTTTTCAGGCCTCTTCTCTCAGTGCCACGTGGCCATTCGGATCGCTTGATACTGTGAGGAAGTTTAAAGGCTCTGATAAAAATCGTCCTTATCACCTTATGGCGTTCAGCTTGCGGCGCGTAGTACTGCCCAGTACCCCTCCTTCGCGTCTTTCCGCACAGTCGTGATACGAGGCGAGGAGCCAACAACAGGAGCAAGCAACGCGAGGACGGACAAAGGAACCGGGAGAGCCCTGTCACGTCTTTGAGAATGCGCCTTCCGCCGCAAAAGCCCAGTGTCTCAGTCCCTTGAATGCCAGACTCCTTTACGGTGCATACATTCTCTTTTCTACAATATCCAATTTATCGTGCCATCAGTCTTTCGTTTTCGAGACAGAAGTTGACATACCTTTCTAGTGGCCGTGATATTCACCCAACTGGCATGTATGTAGGAACCACCGCCCAGTCGAACTCGTGTCTGGTCAATGCATATAATGTCTGAAGTACGCTCAGATGAAAAACGAAGAACTTGCGGGCATTGGAGAGATTCCCATTCAGAGGTTGGGGGAAGTTTGCATGCTCGATGAGAATATATTTAGTGGTATGCGGAGTTAAATGCACACGGCCCACGGTCAAAACCCGGAAGGAATCGTTCTCTGAACGAGGGAGCCTTATTTTTCGCAGGATCGTAAAGGGGTATCAGACCTTCCTCAGAGGATAACAACCCTAACAAACCACATGAGCTAGCCTCACGGGGGATTGAATAGGCAAAGCAGTCAAATTGTAACGATATTCTCCAAATAGAATATGTGGGATGTATGATGCATTTCGAGGTGGTTAACGTCAAACGAGCAAACTTCATTTGGACACCTTACTTGACCTATGCGGGGACTTTTTAGGCTCGGCAGATTCGTGTGTTTTCATACTAACGGATGAGCCACGTAAAAATATACTTTGTTACCGGCGACCAGGTGCCAGAGTCAACCCTGCGTTGCGCAGTTCGCAACGGCACGTTGAGAGATCCTCAACGCACGCTGTATGGGCGGAGACGCAGACGGCTCGAGCATGCGAGTGTGAATGTTCGCGCGAGAGAACGTGTCTAATCGGGCGAAACTGCGCAACGTGGCCGTTGAGAACTGCGCAACGCAGGGTTGACTCTGGGTGCGATCGATTGCAGACCGCACACAACAAGCGACAACGGCCTTCACAAAAATGTAATTGTTCTCTGCCAATGAAATGTTTAGCCGGTTGCAGTTGAATTCTACCTGTTGTCACTAATTACAACTATTATTGGCCAACTATCAGCTGTCACCATGAAATATTATCAGGATCGAAATGTGATCGAATCAAAGTTGCAGAATTGCCCATTCCGGAATTGATGTGATCATTTATTCACATTAATTCCGGAATGAGCAATTCTGTAACTTTTCGAAGAGCAATCATTGTTTTGCTCCGATGAACCGTTTGGTTCTGTTACATTACAGGACGACTCAGAGCCTCTATGAACCTTTCGTCGACCATCATTACGAAGTTCAACAAACTGTTTATAAGAATCAGCAGTCTTAGACGCAAGGAGATAGCCTCTTCGACTCCACGAGCAATACCTAGAAGGTACGTGTGAAGAAGCGATGAGTCATGTTCACCGAATCTGTCGTTTTGTCGCTGAGATTGCTATCGAGCACGCATTTTTGTGACGTTTTGAGATACATCCTCGGGTGCTCGACAGGAGGCCCGTCGCGCGCCGAGATGGCGGAGACGCAGACGGCTGGAGGGCGAGTCGTAGCGCGTACTGTGTCGATTAAGCGTTAAGTTAATCAGAGTGTACCAGTGTACCCGCCACTTCATCTCACATCGCACAGTACGTGACCTCTCGTACCTCTTCTTTTATCGATTGTTTCCCTTGGTAAGAAGATATTCTGCTGTAAGGTCAGTCCTGCATAAGGGCTGCAAAGAATAATAAGAGGAGGAGTTACTAGTTGAGACTCGTCTGCTGCTATTGACACCAAACAGGACAATAGGAATTATGTCGAATATCTCCAGACCCATTTGATGCCACAGCCCATGAGGAACTTCAATAAGGAACACAGGACAACAGAGAAGGATTGAGCGCCCACCCATTAGGCGCAGATTGTCCCAAAATTGACGCCAACAGAGTATCGCGGAATGCATCACATGGCAACAAAGTTCGCTCAGCTCGTATCCTATGAAATGCAGTGTAGTGTTGTGAGTGTGTCAGAGATCACACTATAATATGCATAATCGGACTACCGATCAGTGGAGCAGCTATTCTTGGAAGCCTCGGACCAACTCAATGACGCCTTGACAGGGTCGTTGAGTTCCTAGGAAGTCTTCGTTCATGTATCAACGTAGAAGGCGGCTCCTTCAAAAGAGAATAATGTTTAGCGATTGATAAACGCGCACCAATATGATAGTTTTGTTAATTTGGGGCTTTTCGGTCACACTGCTGTTTTATTATCGGCGAATCTCGTTACCGTAATCCTTGTCACCCTGTGGACCGAAGGTGGACAAGGATAGAGGCATGAACGGATTTTGATCCACGGCCACCACTTCCAAATTGCGCCACCGCCGGCAAAAACAACCACAAGAGGGAAATTAAATGACTCGATTTCATGTCGAAAACCTGGCGCACCCACTGCGGATCCAACAGAACAGGTTATGATGGGTGATGAGAACTTCACATCAGGTGCGCTTTTTGATGCGCTTGATCCTATTTGATTCTAATCCTTAGACAGTGATTCTGCAATTACAGCAGCCTCCACCCTTCTCACAACGGTGAGCACAGTGCGAATTTAGCCTTTCTTCACCTTCAATACCCGGCCCTAGTGGTTTTGCTAAGCTTTCGGAGAAGCCTCCACATACCTTCGAATCGATTCTTCTCTGGGTTTGCATCAAAAGCGATTCGCGTGGCCATAGGTGGTAGAAATCCTCGAATCGTGCGGAATTCATTCTGAATTGAGTGGATCAATTCTGATGAAGAGAAGAAAACTGAAAACGATCGAAACTGACCGCCATGCCCTCTGCTCCCGATTCTAATGTCTTTTCCATGTACGTCTTCCATTTCTGCCCTTTGTCACAGGTCTTCTCTGGAACTACACCGGGGTTTAAATGAAAAAAACTAAGGTTGTAAGGGAATGTCCGCAATCGTAGCTTGTGGATGAGTAGCAAAAGCGAACATCATGGCCATCTCGCGTCAAAGCCAGCGACAACTTGCTAGAGCCGTTTAAGTGAGGCATTCTGCGATTGGAGTAACATATTCGAAGTGATGTGCAAAGATATGGTCTGACTCTCTCAGTATAAGATGTGGTCTCAGGACATCTGTCAACCGTGAGCCTTGGCGGTTCAGCGTTTTGTAGTGATGTCTGGGAGCTCTCACAAGTGCACACTATCACAGCATCTCCTCTTTCTTTATCTTCTTCAAAAGGCTTAGTCCCAATAAGACACAAAGTGTGTGCTTTTCCAGCTACGCTCTCACCCTTTGGTTGACAGAAGCCTTGTAACCGCAAAGATACGGTCAGATCAACCAACCGAACCTCCTGTACTCTGTGCTGTGACGAAGTTATTTTCTGAGACTGATTAATAAGCTATTTTCTCCTTGTTCTTGACATTGTTTATTGCTAGCATAATTGTGTTGGTAATTCACTTTCTGTTATTGTTTTTTTCCACGTGTGCCTTCCGCAGACGTAATAAACTTATACTTATAGATATAAAATCTAACCATCACTTTACCCTACCCTTGCCCGCCCTGAACTCAAACTGAGATAACCCTCGCCATGAGGATCAAGGTGGACGAGAAATGGTGGCGTCAGATCAAAGACACTTTAGCACAAATACGTATTGAAACATGTTCGCCCAAAAACGCAACCAAACTTTCTTTGAATCGGCGTTCTCTGTTATCGGCAAGGAATTTGAGGGCGCCTGCAAGGCCATTTTGCTACACACCGCTCGACAAAAATAGAACGCTGCAAAAACAAGCCTCTCTAGTCTCCACTAACCATCTCCTGACTCTTTCCTAGTCATCTCGTCCGATGGAAAATGTGGTGTAGGACCGGTCGGGGTAGGTGAAGACAGATACCCAGTGCCATAGATATCTGTAGTTCCACCAGTTGTGGTCGTCGCAGGAGCAGTTGTTCCCGTTGTTGCGGGAGATGGGCCGGTGGTGGTAGCAGTTGCCGACGGTGCCATCGCTGGCGTCGTAGTGGTTGCGGTGGTGGT